CCCCCACCAGGGCCAGACTTTCAATGTATCACTGTAACAGCCACCTGTCTGTTCTATCTGAGGTCTTCCTTGGTGTTCACCCATCCCACCCCCACCAGGGCCAGACATTCAATGTATCACTGTAACAGACACCTGCTTGTTCCATCCGAGGTCATCCTTGGTGTTCACCCATCCCACCCCCACAAGGGCCAGACAACAGCCGTATCACCGTAACAGAAACCTAGCTGTCTGATCCATCCCTGGTCATCCTTGGTGTTCACCCATCCCGACCCCACCAGGGCCAGACAACAGCTGTATCACTGTAACAGAAACCTAGCTGTCTGATCCATCCCTGGTCATCCTTGGTGTTCACCCATCCCACCCCCACCAGGGCCAGACATTCAATGTATCACTGTAACAGACACCTGCTTGTTCCATCCGAGGTCATCCTTGGTGTTCACCCATCCCAGCCCCACAAGGGCCAGACAACAGCTGTATCACTGTAACAGAAACCTAGCTGTCTGATCCATCCCTGGTCATCCTTGGTGTTCACCCATCCCGACCCCACCAGGGCCAGACAACAGCTGTATCACTGTAACAGAAACCTAGCTGTCTGATCCATCCCTGGTCATCCTTGGTGTTCACCCATCCCACCCCCACCAGGGCCAGACTTTCAATGTATCACTGTAACAGCCACCTGTCTGTTCTATCCGAGGTCATCCTTGGTGTTCACCCACCCCACCAGGGCAGACATTCAATGTATCACTGTAACAGCCACCTGTCTGTTCTCTCCAAGGTCATCCTTGGTGTTCACCCATCCTACCCCACCAGGGCAGACATTCAATGTATCACTGTAACAGCCACCTGTCTGTTCTCTCCGAGGTCATCATTGGTGTTCACCCATCCCAGCCCCACAAGGGCCAGACAACAGCTGTATCACTGTAACAGAAACCTAGCTGTCTGTTCCATCCCTGGTCATCCTTGGTGTTCACCCATCCCGACCCCACCAGGGCCAGACAACAGCCGTATCACTGTAACAGACACCTAGCTGTCTGTTCCATCCCTGGTCATCCTTGGTGCCACCAGGTAGGGCACAGTTAAAATTAAGTTAATTAAGTTCCTGGTCCCTAAAGGAAAAAATTTCTAAATCAATTTTCTATTAAAAATATGTTATGATGATGTATATTATTTGATGCCAGTAATTAATGTTCATTTACAAATGTTGTGTGGCCAATTCTTAATGGGTAGCCTTGTGGTTAAAGCTTTCCCTGATCACACCCAAGGCCAAGGGTTGGATTCCCCACATGGGTACAATTTTTTAAGTCCATTTGTGGTGTCCTCCAACATGATATTGTACAAATATTGCAAAACCGGCGAAAAAATATACTCACTCACTCTTGTGCTTAAATAGGATGTTATCAATCTTAAACGAAGGGGGCAAACTTTCTATCTTACAGCTGCTTATTATCTGAGTTGAAGATGGATAAAAATTATTCTTGTTGTGGGCAGATTTAACTCAAAAGGGCACGCCTAAACACCTGTTTCTGACTTGACAAATATACATTTCTGTCCCTGCAGTTTGTGAATTAGTAGTAGATGAGGAAGAGAATTTATGGATGTCAACCATAGAATTCTATTACCTGTCTGTGCTAATTACCCACAGCCTCCCATTTGCCCATTGTCCATTGCCAATTTACAATCAGTTATAAGTTTTGGCTTCCATTTGTCCAATGCTAATCACCTATCAGCGCCAATTATCTGTTGGCTTCCCTTGTTAAGTTTCAACCTTTGTTATCTTATTACTTTTGTTGTTCTTACAGGTACATATATATGTTCTCTCCCTCACAGCATTTTTCACCTGATGAAGGAATAAGAATATACTCCGAAACGTTGTGTTCCTCACAATGGAGAAGTTAATTGACATCCATAAATTCTCTTCCTTATGTGTATCACTTCTAAATGCCATTCAAAGGCAGGAGGAAGCAGATTTCATACACGTTGATCTTCAGGTGAGCTTGAAAAGGAAACACAAATGAGGTGTTTTGAATTTTTGTTGGATTTGTTGACATGCTTGTTTATTTACTGTTTAACTGGGCTACAGGAGTTGGTGTTTAAATAAGAAAAGGTACAACTTTATAAATAACAAATTCTTGTTTATTGCAAAAGCGATGTTTTGATGAAGATCCTGACACCATTCCCAAGCTAGAATGAGTACAACCAAGTGATGAGAGGTATTAAGTTGTGATAAACAGCAGATTAACAATAACAACAATAGATACAGTCAAACACCATTGGGTCGAACTTTGAAATGTCGAACTTGCAGTTGTCTCGAAGTAAAAGTTTGGTCCCTGCGTATTCCTTCTTTATTTATCGTCTTTGGTTGTGTCCAACCTCGGATTACTTAAAGTATTTTTGCAGGTCCCTTCAACTTCGACACAACAGTGTTTGACTGTAATTAACAACAAATAGCATACAGATAACTGGATGAAGCCTGATGTTCAATGAGGATTAAGATGCTGTTCTAAGCTTGATTGGACACCAATTAAAAGAGTCAATTGCTTTTTTATTTGTATGGTTATATTATAAGTTGTAGCAGGATCACGAGGGTACATTGGGTTTTATGCATCCCGCGTTAGGTTTTATACCACGAGCCGGAGGGATGCATAAAACCCTATGTAGCCCTCGTGATGCTGCTACAACGAGTTTATCTTACAGACATGTTTTAATGTGACATTGTAAAAGCCTGTATTGCAAATGGTGGGTATTAGAGATTTATTCTCCCGCTGAGAAATTTATTACCTTTCGATGCGGGTTAGACAGGTTTTTTCAAGATCATGTGGACCAATCAGATCTCATCATTCTGACATGGAGGTTTGTTAATACATTTTATTTTGAGGGGAAATTAGAAGAACCTTTAATCAAAATGTGTTTTCAAATTAAAACACATCTGTGACGTCATTCTATTGTTTGAATGCTCCATTATTTTTCAGGAATGGAGGGTTGTTTGTCAACTATACATTATGTTGCACCAACATTTGAATTAATTTCCACTAGGAATTGACAGAACTATTTTTTACATTTATTGACAAGTGAATAATTTCATTTTTTTTTCGAAAAACATGTGTCGCAGATATTGTTTGATTTGAGAACGTGTAATTGTCAACCTCAGCTACGGTGGCACATGAATGTATGGTGTGGAATTAACTATTAAATATTTTCATAATTTTGCATTATACTTAAAAGCTCAAAATAATATGTATATAATTTGTGTTAAGCTCTATATTTCCTATTATTCCCATCAGCATGTATTAACAAATGTGCAAGCGATTGATAAATACTAGTTTAGGACTCAACAAATTTGTGAAGAGCCGTGTACCATGCATTGTAAAAGTCAGCTTGTGACAGACCTTGGTGCACGTGCAACAGCGGCAGAGAATGCATTCCTCGTGCATCACACAAGGTCGACTCACGCAGTATAAATACAGACAACAGAGAGTTCTGGTTTATTTTTCAAATATTTTCCACAACAGAATATTTTGTCAAAGTGTAAAAGAAGGGATGAGTTTTAAGTACCATACCTTAAAAATAATTCCATACCTTAAAAATAATGGGCCTCTGCTCCATCATTTTTATGGAATGGAGAGTTACTCGGACATTCCCCTCTACGTAATATCCTGAGTCAATGGGTAATGAACATAACCGTCATTTAATAGCTACACTCAAATCAACCATGACAACATTGAATACATACCTGTCAACTCTCACGCATCTCGCGTGAGTCTCACGCATTTATCACTTATGTCACGCTACACGCAAGGTTGGGAAATTCTCACGCATTCATATAAAATGTAGATAAAAATATTTTGAAACGCTTTTAAATAAATTTTCAGAAAACATGCTCTCTAAGGCCATTAAAATGGTCTTAAAATCATTCAAAACCAGTTTTTGCCGGGGGAGCTTCGCCCCCCTGCGCCCCCCCACCAGGGCTTAGCCTTGTTCTATTTGGGATAACACTTTCTTAAGTAAACTACATATTCTACATGTGAATTTGTGATCTCGACTACCTGTTGTCGGACTTCCATATTTGTGGAAGTCTTGGTGGCTGACTGGGTTTGATCGCTGACTTTGTGTGATGAGAGTGTTGGTTCAAATCCTTATGGAACTCATCCCACAAAAAGTACTAGAATTTGTACTTTATTAAGGAAGGGCATCCTAAATATAACACTTGTATGATAACATTACATTTTTTCTCCTGCTTAGAAACACTGCCCTAGTGGAGACTCCAGGTTAGAATAGGTCCCCAGCAACCTGTGCCTTTTGTAAGAGGTGACCAAATGGATCGGGTGGTCAGGCTCGGTGACTTGTCTGATAGCATGGCCTTGTACCCCGACAGTGAGGATGACAACATCAGAGGATTGTCTGGTCCAGACTCGATTTATAGGCAACTGTCGTAAAGATGGAAAATTGCTGAGTGTGGCATTAAACAACAAATAAACAAATAAATAAACAAATAAATAAACAAACAAACAAACAAACAAACAAAATCAGTAAAACTACAGAGAGATGAAAAATGATCATCCTGTTTAAACATTAAGATGAACTCATATCGACAACGAGAAGATATCTAAACCGTCACCAAATCTCCCTCATTGATGACAGGACATACGTATTCCTCTTGTGTGTGATACTAATCTTTAGCCATGGTATCACGTTGCAACAGCGTTCACCCATGGTGACCTAATACTGTTAGCTTTTCTGCTCCATACAGAAATCGCTTGACAGTCTCTATTTGATACAACACTGAACATGTCATGAGTGCATAGAACATGTATGCCTAGCTCCTCATTTTAATGCAACAAATAAGCCCTTATAATGTGTAGTGAACCATTTCTATGGACAGTCAGAGGTTTGTCTGAATGTTGCGAGACGGTATAGAAATTATCCATACGCCTGGCCAGCCCTTCTGGTAACGGTAGGACCCTCCACATTTGTTTACTGATCCCCACCAGTTGCTAAGTCCAGTACTTTGATCAAGAGATTTACTCAGGCAGGTAGAATTGCTACTGCTCCATGACGATGTGTGATATTCTTTAATTTATTGTCTTCGGAAACATTATGTGTGTTGGAGAATGGATGTTTTATGATACGAGTACAGCATTGATTTAAGATTAAATGGCCCCTCAAGGAAAAGGGTAAGTGTTACCTGGTAATCCTTGTGTGTGCTAGAGATTGTTAGCACTTGGCCTAATTACCTCTTATAGGGTTATACCGACTGTAGTGTGTTGTCAGGCAGATATCATGTTTGGTTTATTGTAATAAACTTAATGCATGAAGGTTTGGATAGTAGAGTCAGCTTTTGAATTTTTTTATAGCAAAAATATTATAGTGTTTAGTATTGTCAAATGCTTTTTTTAAAATTTAGTTTTTTTATTGAATGTCTTATGCCATGAAAATGGTTTTTTTTGCTTTTGAAATTTTGAATGAAACAGTACAATACAATGGACCTGAATGTCATAAAACATGTTTGTGTGGGACTTGTTTTTAAAAAATAAATTCATTATTCATAGAATCAGTATAAAATATTAGGAATGCCATGATGTAAAAATGGACATGGTGAAAAAAACAAATTACTAATCTTGAAAGACAGACCTGAAACTTCACCTACACAGTATAAGTTTAACATGTTTAAGTTACATTTGCAGGATTAAGAATTTAAAGGGGGACTCAGTGATAACAGGAGTTTTGAGAAATGACTGTGATTCATTAGTTTGAATCACTTCACTTAATTTGGTAATCCTTATGTTTTGGATAGGTTTTAATTATACTATTTTAAATACTTTGTTTATAATGATTTTTATAGCAATAGTTATTTTTAACATTTTACTTATTTCTGGTTGGCGGACAAAAACAACATGGATTAACTTATTATTTTCAGCAACAAAACTTACATGCACGAGAGGCTTGATGTACAAAGTTATTCAGGTGAAATGTTGAATTATGTAACAAGATTTGGACAAGTGAGCCGGATGCATGGGATCACACTGTGGTTTTTTTAGTGAATAGTAGTCATACTTGTCAGCCATTTTGTCCAAGCAATCCCCATATTTTTACATACTTGGTTTACCAAAAGTATTGTCCCCTCCTTAGTAGTCATACTTGTCAGCCATTTTGTCCAAGCAATCCCCATATTTTTACATACTTGGTTTACCAAAAGTATTGTCCCCCCCTTAGTAGTCATACTTGTCAGCCATTTGGTCCAAGCAATCCCCATATTTTTACATACTTGGTTTACCAAAAGTATTGCCCCCCCCCCCCCCCCTTAGTAGTCATACTTGTCAGCCATTTTGTCCAAGCAATCCCCATATTTTTACATACTTGGTTTACCAAAAGTATTGTCCCCCCCTTAGTAGTCATACTTGTCAGCCATTTGGTCCAAGCAATCCCCATATTTTTACATACTTGGTTTACCAAAAGTTTTGACCCCCCTTCGGAATCCATTGGAACCTGACATGCTTATCATTACCGATTGAAATGTTTAGTTTTCCCATCAGGCATCAGCAATGTTTGACCCCCTGTGATCTGGACTAGTCAAATTCTCCAATACGAAACTGGAGAACCCACCTTTGAGATCTGACATTTCAGAGAGAGAGAGAGAGAGAGAGTGTGTGTGTCTGTGTGTCTGTGTGTGTGTGTCTGTGTCTGTGTCTGTGTCTGTCTGTCTGTCTGTCTGTCTGTGAGTGAATGTTATAGGCTGCAGTCAGCAACACACTGTCATGGTGTCATCTGTAAATAACTGAGTCTGGGCAAGGCAGTACGGTGGGTTGGCAGCATCAGCAACAATACACCATATGAGCATGATGACAAACAAATCAGCAAGATCACATTGTAACCACCCAATCCTAGTTTGTCAGCTGACAAACACACATGTGTACATCCAGTGGCGTAGCTACTATGTTGCACAAAATGTATAAGTACCTACACTTTGAAATCGTTAATAATGTAAATTAAACAAGTTTTAAACAAATGTACTATATAAGCGTGTTCTGGTGTGAAAATTGGCATTCATGAGTGGGTTGGATATTGTTGTTTGCTTGTTTCATTAGGTTTGAGGATATGTGGGTTTGGTCCTGAATGTGGTTGGGATATTTTTGTGATATCTCTGTTTTTGAAATATTGTACGAAAAGCAAGTACTGCAACATGTTGGCTTTCATGGTACTTTCGCTAGCTTGATCTCTGACATCTTCTTTCACCAGCTGTTTGCAACAGTTCAAGCATGATCAAGGCTTCATTTTGCATGAGCATCAGGGGAGGTAACTCATGTACTACTCATCACTCAGGAATATTTTACTCTCCTTTTTGAAAGGGAACATCACAGTGTCGAAATGGTGCTGCAGACTTGATAAGATTACTGTTTTATTATTCATAAGCATTTTAACATATTTAAGTCTCTGAGTCATCAGACAAATACAGCTTTTGCAGTGTTAGAAATTGGTACTAGTCCTATAGTCCTTGCCAAACTGCCCAATAGTTGATCAGTGGACTGGTATAAATTTGCCATTTTTAAGGGTTTTGCTACATGTTACTATTATTAGGACTACTGGACTAAAGATGTTACTATTGTTAGTTTCTGTTGCTGTTTTGAAAGACAAGTCAGTATGGCTTATGTGTCAAATGTTCAAATTATTACTTTTAACCCTCAAATTCTGGAAGAAGAACTTGTCAAAATGCAGCTAAAGTTTGAAGTTTATTCCTGATAGTGCAACATTTTCCTGTACCAAAGTGTTGAACCCTAGAAACATGTCTTATATGAAAGCCCCTGAAACATGGAAAAGGAAAATATAAATACATGAACATGAATTGTATACAGTCAGTTTAAAATTTTACATCACGGTCAAAAAGATTTCATTTATACATGTTGTAGATTTATTACCTTAAATAAATCCATGTAACTTTGCAAGTTTCTTGATATTTGGAACTTACCACAAACATTATATTAATGTTTAATATTTTGCTGGAGTCTGTATGTATCCAACAATTTTTGTGACATACTAGAAACAAAGATAATTGGTCAAAAGTTTGAATGCTGTGGATGGAATTATAACACAGTACCATGTCGGAGATGACAAGCATCAGTCCATATAAACAGCCCCCCTGGCCTATGTAAATGAGCCGTGTCACGCGAGGGGGTTCAAAGGCAAGTTGACATAGCCTGTCGTGAGTGTCCACCTTGTCCACCCTGCAGGCCTGTCTCCTTCATCTCACTGATGCCACTAAATGTACCATGTCGGAGATGACAAGCATCACTCCATATAAACAGCCCCCCTGGCCTATGTAAATGAGCCGTGTCACGCGAGGGGGTTCAAAGGCAAGTTGACATAGCCTGTCGTGAGTGTCCACCTTGTCCACCCTGCAGGCCTGTCTCCTTCATCTCACTGATGCCACTAAATGTACCATGTCGGAGATGACAAGCATCACTCCATATAAACAGCCCCCCTGGCCTATGTAAATGAGCCATGTCACGCGAGGGGGTTCAAAGGCAAGTTGACATAGCCTGTCGTGAGTGTCCACCTTGTCCACCCTGCAGGCCTGTCTCCTTCATCTCACTGATGCCACTAAATGTACCATGTCGGAGATGACAAGCATCACTCCATATAAACAGCCCCCCTGGCCTATGTAAATGAGCCGTGTCACGCGAGGGGGTTCAAAGGCAAGTTGACATAGCCTGTCGTGAGTGTCCACCTTGTCCACCCTGCAGGCCTGTCTCCTTCATCTCACTGATGCCACTAAATGTACCATGTCGGAGATGACAAGCATCACTCCATATAAACAGCCCCCCTGGCCTATGTAAATGAGCCATGTCACGCGAGGGGGTTCAAAGGCAAGTTGACATAGCCTGTCGTGAGTGTCCACCTTGTCCACCCTGCAGGCCTGTCTCCTTCATCTCACTGATGCCACTAAATGTACCATGTCGGAGATGACAAGCATCAGTCCATATAAACAGCCCCCCTGGCCTATGTAAATGAGCCGTGTCACGCGAGGGGGTTCAAAGGCAAGTTGACATAGCCTGTCGTGAGTGTCCACCTTGTCCACCCTGCAGGCCTGTCTCCTTCATCTCACTGATGCCACTAAATGTTGAAGGTGGGCCTGGGGAATGGCTTTCCATATCTGATGAAGGACACGCTGGAAATTCATGCAACTTTGCTGGAGGATTTGGAAGACGTTTGCATTTCTTCTTGCTCTTTCATAAACATTTACACTTGTTCAAATCTAAAAAAATTCTTCTGAAGGTTTACAAAGTAGTCACAATTTATAAGTAACAACTTCTTTAAAGGCCATGTTTATAGATAGATCCTTATACCATTGTCAAGAGAGACTGAATAATGAAACATGGTACAGAATATATATAGTAGATGGAGGATTAACAACAATTGCATATTGCAATTGCAAACAACAATTGTTGGAGCATCTTTAAAAATGAATTAGTGTACTTTAAAGAAACGCTTAAATAAGATCCAGTTTTGCCCAATATGAAATAAAATGTGTTTAAACTATTACATATGTATGTGTGACTGTACAGGGAGTACCAACATTGTGTGAAATTATTGGGTGGGGGAAGAGTCCTTCAGGTTTTCTCCTATGGTATTTGAATAAAAGGACTTTCTAAACTTTTAGCATGAGGCTTATGACAAGGATAGAGGCCACATTATTAGCTTTGTCAGAATTGTGAGATGGGAGGCATTATATTGTTGGCCACTCACTTTCACTCACTCACTCACTCACTCACTCACTCAACCACTCAACCACTCACTAACTCAACCACTGACTCACTCAACCACTGACTCACTCAACCACTCACTCAACCACTAACTCAACCATGCACTCACTCACTGACTCACTCACTCACTCACTGACTCACTCACTCACTCACTCACTCACTCACTCACTCACTGACTCACTCACTCACTCACTCACTCACTCACTCACTCACTCACTCAATCAACCACTCACCCAGTCGACCACTCAATCAACCACTCACTCAACCACTCAACCACTATATGGCTTTTGTGTGTAATGAACCCAGTGCATTAAGATGAGTATAAATCAATTAACCTTGCACAATGAAGCATGTTTTTGCAGTCTAACTAATATCAAAGTATATAATGCCCTGCAGACAAACATTGTAAACTGTAA